GGCAACAATGAAATGCAAAACTCTAAAACTCTTGGTTCAGAGATTATACCTTTTATTAGACCAATTAAGAAATTGCAAAAAAAAAATCTTTTTCTGCAAGCTTTCAGGCACATGCACCCTTCCTTAGCCTGAAGAAGCTTATGGAAAAAGATTTTTTTTGGTGATTTCTTAGTTGGTTTAATACAAGGTATCATCTCTGAACCAAGAGTTCTAGAGTTTTGCATTTCTTTTTGTCTCAGACCAACACAGCTAGCAAATACATCCCTGGAAATGATTACCGCATTTTGAAAACCCCCACACCTAACTAGCATCTACTATATTTCAAATGAAGAGAAAGTGTAATGTGACCTTCAAAGTGACTAATTTGACTTATATCTGGACCTATGAAGGGAATTTATTTTGTTTTTAACTTTACAGAAATATACATTTCTGGAAACTATTAATATATCAGTCCTAGCAAGAATAGGCTTAGTGACTTTGGCTGCAGAGATATTCATTAAACATCTATTGCATACAATATGCATTAAACATTGCGGAGATTCCTAGTGATATTCTTCTACACATTTATAATGTGCATATTATCCTTTGTGATCTCCATGAAGATAACTGATTTCACAGCTGGTTTCCAGCAGTCTAATACCATGAACATCAATAAAGTTGATATGTACGAGCTTCAGTGACGGTTTCTTCCATTTAGTCGTAACCCTATATCTCTTAATCTTTGATTAAAATATGAGTGCTTCTATGTGACAGCATTATAGTTTTGAGAAAGAGCAGTTGCCAGGAAATGGCTAAGAGGTCAATAAAAAATCTTGATGAACCCTCATTTAGGAATTATTATGACTCCGACACACAAGTTCTGTCCTTTGTCAGCTCAGTTTCCAAATTGCATTTTAACTACATTTACCAAGGAAAAAAGCTAATGCAAACATGAATAAGCAATAATTCTAATAAGGAATCTTATAAAAAATCTGAGTAGGTTAATAATGTATAATAAAAACATTCAGTATAGTAAACATTTAAAAGTGGCATATAGTCAAGATTTTAATTCACAGGTGAAATGTGGAATACTTCATATTTTTTCTGAGAGAGTACAGATTATATCCTTTCAATGATGATTTCATCTCTCACCACCTTCTCTGGCTGTTTCTTTCTTTTCCTCTTGATTTTTAATAAGCCTCTTTTTCCTTGCTTTTTGCTGAAACCTAAAGGCAGAAAAAAGCAGTTTTACACAGTGTAGTGTTGAGAGATCCAGCATAATATGAAACAGGGAAGGGCCAGATTCTGCTTTCACAATCCATAACAGGGTTTTCGGTTTTCACAGTTTGATCCCTTGATCCCTTTTAGTCTCTATGACTGCACCCCTTCTCCTGCTGCAGGGTGACAAGCCTTCGCCTGTCCCGGGGCCAGCACTGTACCTAGACTCCTGGTGGCCCCGGGCAAACTTTTAGTATTGGGCCCCCTTCACCAGAGATAATGATAATAATAATTTTTAAATTACCATTTTCAGGCTCCTTTCTGTCTGGGGCCCAGGCAGCCACCCAGTTTGCCCATACCTGTGTCCAGCCCTGCCTGCAGCTAAGTCCTACACTCTCCCACTCTTTAGACCAGGGAGATGAGTTGTGCAGGGCTGATCCATGAGCAGGACTAAACCCACATTCCCATCCTGATCCTGCTGCCGTAGCACTGAGCTGCATGGCCTCGGATCCCACCCCACAGGGCTGGGCCACACCATGCTGAAGCCCCTGCCACATGCAGCATGGCTGCTCCAGGTGGCTGCTCCATTGCTATTGCACAGGGCCATCCGGCATACCCTACCTGCTGCTGTGGGTCACTGAGACCCATAAGCAGCACTGGGGGCTGAATGATATGGCTCTGTGGGCTGAATCAGCCCCCTGGGCTCTATCTTTGACAGCCCTACTTTAGACTTTGTTCCTAAGGGTGGATGAGCAATCAGCAGTTCATGACATTTAGTTGCCCTGCAAGACTGCCCTTCAGTACGTGTGACAAGTTGGAGAATAAGGTTGCCTAAAACAGCCATGTTAAACCAAGGTATTAAGGAGGCAAGAAATCAAAGTATAACAAGAAAACACAAATGCAAGAGGGCAGAGTGAGATATCTTTGTGTGTTATACTAGATTAAGTATATCATGACTGAATCACACAACATAATGGAGGAAATTTTGTTCTTGATTACACTTCAATTCAAAGATACAAGAATTTAAGTGACACCAATACATACTCTGTCTTACCTAAAGCTTAGGTATCCAGCTTCTTGATCTCAGGGCAGACTATATTTCTGCACTTTCTTTTCCCTCCCCCCACCCTGCTGTCCAAGGATTGCCCTTTTTATCTCTCTCAACATTCCTTTACAGGCACTAGCCCTTCCTAAACCTGGCCAACCAGTTCAGGCATCCCACTTTTGTCTCTCTGCATTGTCCTTTAATTACTTGTGATGGGTGGCTATCACAATTGTTTTTCCACTTTCCTGTCTATGTGCCAGTCAGCCCTGGCTGGAATTAATCATTTTCTAATTAGATAGCAATAAACAGGAACATAGCCTAACGGAGTGATGAAAAATGTAACATTCATAAAATAAAACAGATTTTCTCACATCCTTCACAAAAGTTGCTATAGATTTATGAACGTGTAGGTGAGAATAGTGATCAGAGGCCCAGTTCAGCTGTCACAGTGTAAATGATTTGTAGGGACATGCTGCCAATTATTGCTAAGTCCTATTTACAGCACTGAAATAGGACATTAAACTGAATAGCAAGAGTGCCACTGATTTTAATTAGGCAGTCCGCTAATTTAAATGAGATTAAATGCATGTATTATTCATAATGTCAATGGCCTGACCCTTCTTTGGCAGTCCCTTGCAGTCAAGGATGATTATCTTCCATGATTATGAAATCGAGGCCTGACCCATCTCCCATTAGAATCAATGGAACTTTCTGTTAAAATTCACGCTGTTGTTCCAGTGGGAGATAAAACAGGCCACACCTAAATCAGACCAAACAGTAGACTCTAATATCTTAATGACTCATTTTAAGAAAGATCTACAATATTTTGAAGCTATGGTATATTCAGGAGTGGGCAAAAAGGTGGATCCGGCCAGCAGCCAGACTTCATTTCCCATCAGCCCCTGCCTACATCATGATGGCTGGTTTCCATGGAGACCCCAGGGGCAGCAGAGCCATGACAGCGCAGGGCCAGGGTTTCAATGGATATGTGCCCAAGCAGCCCTAGCAGGGCATGAAGCTGGATGAGAAGCTGCTCTGGAGTCCAGATTTTACAGTAACAGCAGTGGCAGTATCATCTGGAGCCGGGGCAGTTATGATCCACTGCCTGCTTGCCCCTGCCTGAGACATGTGGGCAGCGGGTCGTAGCTCTGCCTGGTTCCAGCCTGCACTGTTGTTGCTGCAAGAACCCAGCCCTGGCCCCGGTCCTGGTCCTGGCCGTGGAGCAGCTCCCCACCCAGCTGTGTGTCTGCCAGTGCTGCTTGGGTTGGTCTCCATGGAAACCCTGGTCCCACACTGTTTTGGCCCATCACTCCTGGAGTCTCCATTAAACTGGTCACAGTAACATGGGCAGGAGCTGCTGGGAAATGGAGTCTGCTGCGAGCCTGACCCAGCCTGCGGGCTGGACTTTGCCTGCCTCTCGTATATATCAATATTGGTTCAACATTGAAAAGTACAAATTCTGCATATTCTCCAGTCCACGCAAGAACACCTAATGAAGCAAGTGGATCAATTCTTCCATTTAGAGAGTCAGAACAAGGCCTTGCATGACTTAAGTTTAAGTCACATTTGAAGGGCTCCAGCAAGAACTCAGTGGAGCTAGGGGATTGTGTTTTGCACAGGGTGAATATCACAAAGATATCGGAATGAAAAACATGTTACCCTTTCATCAAGGCTCATTTGCTGAGGAGTCCATCCAGCAACAGATTAAATAGTCATTATACTGGTCTGACTATTTTGCTTGGATTAAAACAATTGTCCAATATGAAATTATTTTCTAGAATTGTATCACATTCTTCTTATGCTTTCATTATTCTATTTAGCAGACTACTATTGTTTTCTAATAATTGCATGACTTCTTTTATTTTTTTTTAAGTCTCTTGGCATTTACCCTTCCATCTCAGTGTAAACTTATTATTTTACTAATAAAAGCAATTAGCATTATTTATTTCCATACCTGTCATGCATGTCCTTATACAAGACTTTCTGGAGATAAAGTTATTTTCATTCCCACCACATCCACTGTAGCCAAATGGACGGCATTTTCCAGTTAAGGGGTTAAAGAAATATCTTAACTCATTGGCTCTGCAAAGGCCTCTGTCCATAGGACTCATGCAGAAAGAAGGGAGGGGTGATTGTTCTAAGAAGATGAAAAATAAGCCCAGTCAGAGACAACAGTGAACCTAATTTCTTATACTTATTGCCAAACTGCAGTTTATTAAAATATATCTATATACCAAACTAAATAAATAAAACCAATGAAAGAAACCCAGATATTTATGGTAAAGTTGAAATGGGACTTTAATCACACAGACTACGGACAGACATTCAAAAAGCATGAGCCTAAATTGATTCAATCTTTGTAGGTTAGGCTAACCTGGCTAGGCTAAATCACTTTGTAACTGTACAGACATCCCAGATATACAGGAACATGCCTGCAGTGGCTCAGGATAGAAGCTGGAGGGGCACTACAGCAGCCCTCCCTCGCTTTCCACAGTGCTGAGCTGAGGTGGGGCATGGCCAGGCAGGATGCTCTGATTATCCCAGCAGGGAATTGATAACAGTTTTTATTACCCCTAACTCAGTGTTTACTACCCCATTAAGAAAACAACAGAGGGATATTACCAACTACCTGCTGATTCTGTTTTTGTCCTGTCTGCCACAGCACAGACTGTAGCCAGCATGTGCTCTGCTACCTAATACACAGACACCTCTCAGCAAGGCAGAGGGGAGGGGAAAATTCCTGCTGAGCAGGGAGTGGATGGGAGGGGCGGGGTAGGGGAGCAGCCTGCCGTCTCTGCCGGAGCTCCAGCCAAGGATCAGAGGGGAGGGGCCAGCCCTGCTGTGGAGCAGAGATCCCTGCCCAACCCAGAGAGCATGCTGGGATGCTGGGGGAGTCTGGCTGAACTTAAACCAGCAAGGGGTCTGGGACAGACATTGTATAAATTAGTTTGACCCAAATCAGTTAAGTTTGATACTACATTCAACCACATTTATCTCAGATTGGTTTTAGCAATTTTCAGATTGGTTTATGTGCACTGAACGTCTGTTCTGTTACAGATTGAAACCAGTTTCTGATCACTTAAACCAGTTTATGTGTAAGACCCGGAGGGCACCGCCTGAACTGCCCTCCCCCCTTCACTTCACTCCGAGAGGATTCTTCGACCATGGACGACCCTGCTCCACCCGAAGAGGACCCTCGCGATGAGACGATATGGACTGAGACACTTCCTCCGAACCACTTCCTCCACAATTGTGGACCATTGTAACAGGTTTGAATGTATCTATCTCCTTTCTCTCTCAGCGTCGCGAACCCCC